TTCGCCTAGCAAGTTCTTATGATCTATGTTAAGTTGTGTAAATCAAATTGGAATCTTCCTTTTACATAACCAGTTTCATTGCCGGGCAGCAGGGTTAATACACTTAGATGTTATTCTGTTATTCTTCATCATGTTTTGCAGAAACTCCTTAAAAATAAGGCCAGGCAAGATCACCCCAACTCCCACAATGGGCCTGGTCTTTTAAAAAAAAAGTTCAAAAATTTGCATTGATTTTTAGACTCATCCTCCCTGGGGCATTTTGGAAAACAAAACCTAAATGAGGATTTCAAACAGATAAAATGATATTAAAAATATAATTAATTGGAACAGTCTGTACAAAAAGCAAAATGGCTCTGGAGGTTTACTTTTCAATCATCTACAAAATACACAGCCACTACACTTTACAGTAAACCCCGTGAAATGCTTTGAGACGTCCTTCCGATGTGAAAGGCAAATGCAAGGATAATTATTAATACCATAGTGAAGCTGGAAAGGACTTCTACTCCATCACCCTGCAGGAGGTGGCATAGTTAATCCACTTGATCTCATCAGTGAGGTGCTGAGGTGGTTTATTGGGAATGGATATAGGGAGGAGTTGCAGGAGTGTGGAGCTCTTTGCTGAGCCACACAAACTAGGGTGAATGAGATTTGGAGGAATTGTAGACAACATTTCTCCTTATGGGATTGGGCATGAACTGCAGTGATGAGAAAGGTAGAAAACGAAAACAGACCTTCCAATTGATGTAGTGCTTTTCACATCACTAAGGACATCTCAAAATGCTTCACAGGATTTACCTTTTAGGCAACTGCAGCATCCAATGTATGCACAAAGAGCCATGAAGTGGGTGTTAAAGATCCCAATGACACTATTTGAAAGAAGTGGGAGTTTCTCCTGCTGTCCTGGCTAACAATCCCCCAAATAAAATTGGGTCTTTCACTTCATGGCTATTTGTGGGACATCGCACTAAGCAAATAGGCTCCTCATTTGCTTGCAAAATACCTAACCAATACACTTTACAGAAAAATCCTATGAAACATTGAGTTGTCTTGCTGACATGATAGGGGGTTATATTAAATGTAAGGATTATTATAGTCCCTCCTCTCTTGCAACAGTGTTTCAGGTGATTCCATACATAGCCTTTCTTGTTCTTTACATTAGTTTTGGATGCACACTCCACCTTACTAAGCCAGAACCTTGGTGTCTTGTTTGACCCTCAACTAACCTTTCTACCCCATGTCTGCGCCATGACCCACTTTGCCTTTTCCCACCTCCGCAACATCACCCAGTTCTGCCACTGTCTCACACGGCAGGCCACCGAAACCCTCATACACGACGGGTTCATTACATTGAGGCTTAACTATGCCAACTCCTTGCTTGTCGGTCTCCCCAACTCCTCCCTCCACAGGCTGCAGATCATCCAGAACTCTGCAGCCCATGTCCTCTCGGGTTCCAGGCTCCGTGGTCCTATCATGCCCATCCTCGCCTGACTCCATTGGCTTCTCATCACACAGAGGATACAGTTCAAGATCCTAGTCCTCACCTTCAAAGCTCTCCATGGTCTTGCTCCTCCCTAGCTCTGCAACCTCCCTATCATCCTACCCGCTCCCTCCACTTAGCGGGCTTTGGCCTGCTTCATCTTTGGCGGCCGGGCCTTCTGCCACTCTGCCCCCACTCTCTGGAACTCCATCCTGTAATCCCTCACCCCCTCCCTTGCCTCCTTCAAGACCCATCTCAAGAAACCTCCTCTTCGACCTTGCTTTCAATCATCCTGATTCCCAACCCCCAGCTCGGGTCCGAAATTCTGATTGTCCAGCGCCTTGGGACGTCCTCCCAACGTGAAAGGCGCTATGCAAATGCAATTTTGTGTTGTTGTAATCTGGTTATATAATAAAAACAACTTGCATTTATATGACACCTTTCACGTAAAAATAAACATCTTGAAGCTGCTGTAAAAAACATAAAGGATTAGAAATGAAAATATATGGTGTAGGACAAACGAAACATCAATTGCCTCAAAAACATGATGAGTCGCTAATTCATTTGAATCTGGATTAGGAAGGGAATATAAAACAGGATAACTGGGAGAAAGACTTAACATTTCTTTGACATGTGGTATCAATTTTATTTCCATTTGTGACATGATAATTTTAGGTTCTTCTGCATCCTAAGGCAAAGAGAATCTAAGTTAAAAACACGCATAAAAATATGTTTATCTGCCCATCCCCCACTTGTTCCTACTTGATATATCCTGTAACCCTAGGAACCCGCTTGTTAGTCAATTGGTGTATCGCTTTTCCAGGGGTAATAATTCCTTCAAAAATATAATAAATTGGTCACTCAATCCATGACTGTTTGTGGGACGCTGCTGTGCACAATTGGCCGCTGCTTTTCGCCCACAAAATATACAGTTAATTCACTTTACAGTATATTCTGTGAAGCACTTTGAGACGTCTCGAAGATGTGATAAGGCGCTATATCAAATGCAAGGATTATTATCAATATATTATTATTGTCTTTTCACTCTGATAAACCTTAATACTTATATTCTATCCATGCTTATTGGTAAGGCAGATATTATCACAAGGGCAAGGAGATTCAAATAAATATTAGAGTAATATACACACAATCACAATATTGTGATTCACACAATCGCACAATTGCTGCACTAATTAACATTATGATACAACAACAGCAACTCACATGTGTTTACTGTAGCACCTTTCAATTTGGGGGTACGTCTCTGCAGCCCATGTCTTCTCCTGCACTAGGCTTCGTGGCCCTTTCGCCCCCATCCTGTTTTGAAGTCCTGTAGCTCAGTGGTTAGAGCACTCGCTTCGCAAACCAGAGATCTGGGTTCAATTCCCGGTAGGGCGAAACCTTGAGCAAGTTTCCTTACTCCACACACCTGATAATAATCCCTCAAGAAAAAAAAGCAATAACAATTTGGTCACTCAATCCACGACTCTTTGTGGGACACTGCAGTGAGCAATTGGCTGCCGCGTTTCACCCACAATGTCCTGTAGGGAGGAGTGGTTAAGACAGAATTCATATTAGCTTTTAAAAGGAATCTAGATAGATACTTGGTTAGCAGAATGGCTACTTCACTTGCTGTTTACTTGGATCACAAATACAAAATACAGTGACTACACTTTATAGTACATGCTTATCTTGAAGACATAAGGCGCTATATCAAATGCGAGAATTATTTTTATTATCATCAAAGCTATCAGAGGTTTCCAACCAGACCTCAATAGTTTGCTGGTTTATCAATGAGACTGCCACTCAGGCTGACATGTGGGCTAAATTCAGCAGCATGAACCACAACCTTCATGAAGAAGGGCTGTCAAACCTTTTTACCTTTGCTCATTAGCATACAATCCGACATAAATTACAGTGAAATGTATCATCCCAGGACTTCTAAGTGATGTTACGATGATAAAAATAATACATATTTCTTCAGCCTTTCTGCACAGGATTAGCAGACAATGTCTCTTTAAACTGTGTTAAAAGATGGATTATGGACTGAAGCACATTTTCTGTGGACAGTAATGAACAGATAAGTGTATGTTTAAACCGGCTTATAATGGATAATACAGTCTAGAGCGTGTCTCAAGGAAGCAACATATGGAGGGGTTGAGATAATGTTATAAACCCTCCTACGGTTTACCATTCGTACCTTCTTTACGTATTACAACCTGAGAAACATTCTCTGGAACACCTTTTTTTTTTACACCATACATAAGACTGAAATGATTTCTTACCCCATCACTGTACCAAGGTGCCTGAAGGCAAGCCTGTTAATGAACATGGTCCAGGTTCGCGCAGTCAGCAGATTCATGTGTATGTAGGATGGGATTTAACCAACAGACATGTCAGGGCTAATTGAACTGCATCAAACAGAACAGCCTCATCCTTGTACAACACCCGATGATTTGTCACAAGGGAGAGAATTCTGTGAAAATAGACACTAGTGCATTACAATGTCCATCTGTGATTGTGGGCATTACTTATTGTAGTTACAGAGGGATTTCAATCATTTTCTCTTACTTGTGATAATAACTCTCAAGTTTCTGTTATATTACAAGATAAACAACATGACAGCCCTTTGTGTTTTTTTTCCCCTTGCTTCCCTCCTTTGGAAAGGTCACAAGCCCTGCAGGATCTAAAGGAGGGGAGGTTCCGACAGAGACCCTATGCAAGTTTGCTTACTGGTTGTTCTCACTGCTACAAGTCCTTCTTCTGCAGTTTAACATGGACATTCTCATCAGACATCACTGACCAACACATTTAACAAGTCTCTTGCCATTCAACAGCAGGAATCAGGTTATGTACTTTGGTTCTGGGCCAAGGCTGGTGCCATTTTGTGGTGAGGGAGGCAACTGACCATAATGACTGGACCAGCCAATAAGAAGCCTAACTTAAGAGGGTAAAATGTACTTTTTGCGGAGCCAGGCTCAAATACACCTTAAAACTGTAGAGGTTTAATGCTAAGAAGCATTTTTGTTATAATAATCCTTGAATTTGATAAAGCGCCTTTCATGTCAGCAGAATGTCCCAAAGCGCTTCATGTCTGATTTTCAGTAGCAGAAGCCTAAAATTTCACCTGGTCTTAGCTTGTAAGACCATTTGATCTTAAAACTTAAGATATCGTAGAATTGTAGGAAATTCTCAAAGTCAGCATCAAGTTTAGCCTCAAGTTTTAAGACAAAATAGGCTCTGACGAAGTGGAACTTCAGGTCTGGGGTGAAGACAAGTTGTGCTAGGATGACCCCGGTGACCAAATAGACCAAAATAGTTGTGCTCACACAAAGCACATTTGACAGGGTGAGATACGAGAGAGTGGTTGCCACTGATGGAACGCTGCACAAAGCCCACCCAGCATTCAATACTGCTGGCACAAAAGGCAGAGGGGGAAACAGCAATAAAAGACATACGGAAACTATAGTTTGTGACTGCACAAGAAATAAATTACAAAGCACAAAGAAAATTTTTTACAATTTATTTTGTTTGGTTTACAAAACATCTCATAAGTTCTGAACTGTTTTTATGCATTAGGTTACATTTTCAAGAGGAACAGCTTTCAAGTAGTCATAGGAATTTTCTCACTGATGGCGGGTTCCATACAGAACAAATGATGTGAAATGTTTATTTAAAAAACAGCTTGCTCTCAGTTAAAAGACTAGCCATCATTTGTTTTACAAAATACAGTGATATATTTGGACAATGCTCTAAGTTTTTGTCAATAATTAATTTCAGGGGGAGAAAAAAGTACACCCTTGTCCAATGTCAAGACATTTAGAAATGGCTTAGGCATATAAGCCACTGCAAAAAACCTCTGCATTTTTTTCAAAAAAACGTGCAAAATGCAATTTCTCAACTCATTGACTAAATTCAGTAGTGATCGCGTTCAGTATTGAGTGACTACAGTATTTTACAAACCAGGCTGAATGCTGTGCAAAATGATCAATGATTACATGATTCAGAACTTCCTTGCAAAATGCATAAAGGAGGGAAACCAGCAAAAGCAGAGGCTAAAGTGTAAAAGCACATCACCATCACCCTAATAAACAGTGCAAGTAAAACACCATCATTGGCATTCAATTACAGCCAGCAGGACATTACCGTTCTCCCACAGCTAAACATAAAATCAAAGTATCACATAATTGCATTTGTTTAAATAAAAGGTAACATTTATTCATTGTCCGCCACCCAGCCTCTCAATTTTTTTCCTTTGTCTATGTTCCAGACTTCAATGAAGGATTTAATTTTCTTCCTAAAAAGAAAGAATAATAATAGGGTGACACATGATACACACAGCATGAAGAGTTGGCTGTAATTTATATGACAAGCACAATTGAAGTGCCAAGTTTTTCATATCTAATTATATATCATTCCTTGCGACCAAACTTCAAAGCTGACAATAAAGTGGGAAGAATGTCTGATTGTCTTAATGGTTTCAGAACCATAAATATGTTGAAATATTCACAGAGTAAACATGGATAGTTTACTCAAACTATCGACCTGGGAATCACACCTTAAGACCATTTATCATAAAATGCAAGATTGCACAGGATTTAAATTCATCTAGTTAAGAAGTTTGAGAAATTTGAAGCAGGCTGGTGAGAACTGTCTAAAACTGACTTCCGAATTATGAGTGCATTTAAGAACCCTCCAAAGTTCTGCACAATCTTAATTTTAAGGCCACTGTTTTAATGTTTTAATGTCAGACAAATTGTCAATCAATCCATCACAGTTACTGTTAGTTTGTCAACAAGGACTCTTAAGAGGCAATTCTTTGATCCTCAGTAAATTTACAGACTTTGGTGGTGAGTTTACAGTTCAATTTTGAACTTATCTTATAATTTCCCATTATAAGGTCCATAACCTACAAATCAGTGGAGAATACAATATTCTTACTAGCCAAGATCAGTAAATATACTAACAATTGGGAATTACCTCCTTAATCTCTGTGTTTACCCCGTGCTGCAGCAGAAGACCTGCAGCACATGAGCTAGAGGTTGATCGACAGCCTGGAATATTTTGTTTTTAGTGACAAGGTAGAAAAACAAGCGGGCACAGGTTCAGGTTCATGAAAGACAAGTTCACAACAGATACCACAAAGTATTTCTTCATACAGAAGGTAATTAACAATATGTATAGATTGCAAGGAAGGCCTGGACACTAGACTCATTTCAGAAAAAGATTGATGCTGTTATCGGAAGCTAGTATCTATACTGATTAGATTAGATCAATTTGAGTCTCTTGTAATCTAGAGTTCTCTGTACTGCACTTTCACAAGTTCAAAGATCTGTTGAAATTAGTTTTCCAACTTCTACCTTCAGTTCCTAATTAAACTCATGGTACAACCAGAACAATAATAATAATAAACCTTGCATTTGATATAGTGTCTTATCACGTCTTTAAAACATCTCAAAGCGCTTCGCAGAATATATTGTAAAGTGAATTGACAATATATTGTAAAGTGAATTTTGTGGGTGAAATAAAATATACAATCAATGAAATTATCTCCAGAACATTTGTTCATGTGGTTTACTTAATATCTGGGCATCATAACCAAAATATACAAGTTACGTTTTTGGTGACACTTTATTTTTACACTTAGGCACGTTGTAGTTGGAGTACTTTGAAAAAAAAGCCTAGTGTTTCATGTCCACTTCAGCAAGCAGATGGGACTTCAGTTTAACATCTTATCTGAGAGGTGGCACCTGACAATGCAGTGTTTCCCCAATACTGCACTGAAATATCAGACGAGATGAGCTTAAGTGAACCCACAACCTTCTGTCCGAAATGTGATAGTGCTCCACTTTAAAAGGATAAGTGATAGGTTTTATTGGAATTTATTGGGTTGAAAGAGAAGCCAAGGTCCTTGACAGTCTCAATGCACCTACATCTATTAAAAGACAGTGTTTCAACAACTGAAATAGGCTTTGGCAGAACATATTAAATGACAGTTTGAGCTCTTGAAAAGAAAACAATATACAAGAAAAAGGTTAGCATGGAATTAAAACAGTTAACAAGGTTGTGTGCTTCAGATCTTATTACAAAGGTTCACGATCTGTTGAAAGCCATGTCTCCTGCTCTGTGCTCACACAGTGTGTGAAAAGGCACAACAGTGACAATGTTCTTACAGTTGTGTACAAGTGGGCTCTGCATCCATTTATCATCAATAAATACTACCGTGCTATTAACTCGCACACAAAAATGTCCAAACCTATTTACTAAACACAGCAGCTTTACAACAGTTAATTCACGATAATTCTCCTTGTCATGCTCTTGCTTTGACTCTCAACTGCCCTCCTGAGTGTCACTATGATGTGATCTTAGGAGAAAGAAAAACACACAACCAGATGGCAAACTATTTTTGTCATAGTGCAGCTTGTTCTGCAAAATCAAATGGGTTTACATAACAGAAAAACAAGAAAAATCTAATTACATTCTTTGTAACGATCAATCCCACATAAAGAGCATTTGCAAGCAGCCACTAAATCTGGGCACAAATCGTCAGAGCCTAGGAGGTGTTCAAAATGGATGAACACAACATATGGTTGTGGGTTCGAAACACTGTCCTTTTAGACGAGGTGTTAGAAAAATGTGAATATTTGTATCGCTTTATCACAGGCACGATACTAAAAGGGAGACTTCAAAGGGCTCAGGTTTGTAGGTTTGTCGTGTTATTTGTTTTGAGCTTTGCTTATTTTTTTTGTTTGCTTATTTTTTTTGTTTTGCGTATTTATCTAAACCAAACAGAGCTACATGCCTGTCACTTGCACATGTATGAAATTTCCGTGTTTAGAATGGAATGTGCACTCTACCCCTGGAGGGATGAACCCTGCTTACCTAATTCCGGAGAGTATTAGGCACAGGGTGGCAAGAGCTTGGGGACCCTGATGTGTGCTTTGCGGTTGTCTAACCAGCTAAAACCAGCATTTTGGGGGGTTGGGGGCCAGCCAGGTGTCTAAGAAACATGCGGAAACCCATTACCATGCTTAAGAGTATTCAATCCAGGCTGAGAATTCCAGAGATAGATTGTTGGAATGGAAGGCACACTCTCTTCCTGGAGGGATGCCTTCTGCTGGACTAATTCCGAAAAGTATTAGGTGCGGGAGGCCAAAGCTTGAGGACCTCAGAGTGTGCACTGGGGAACTGCTGGAGTCTAACCAGCTAAAACCATTGATATCGCTGTCAGGCAAGCTTTCCCACTTCTTGTCCAGCTGGGACCACCCTACCCGTTAGACGGCAGCCACTATGCCCCAAATGTCTCGAACTCCTTCCCTCGATCCCTCTGCCTTGGCCCCTCTGCCCATCTTCAAATCCCACCTCTTCAACCATGCCTTCAACCACCTCCATCCCCTTTCTGGATCGGGATCGAGCCACACTGCTGTTAAGTGCTCCGTGATGTTATTCGCATGAAGGTCACTATATAAATACAAGTTGTTGTTGTTGAAAAGCAGACAGAGCCTTGGTTTAACATCTCATCTGAAATAGCACTACACTCAAGTGTCAGACTACAGTATGAGCTGTAAGTCCCAATATGGGCCTTGAATTCACAACTTTCTGACTCAACTCCAACTGAGCCAGATTTGTACCTAATAAGGCCATAAGATCGGTTTTCAGATGAAGATGGTTCTTCTGATCTCATCCCTTCCAAAAGACGCATTCTTACCACCCTCTCATCATGGCATCAAACTCCTAGCCTCAATCACCCTTTCTGGCGACCAGCTACAGTGTTTACAACAACAACAAATTTATATTTGTACAGCAATTACACTTTTGATTAAAGAAAAACATTCCGGCCTCTCTCCTGAAATTGCCCTTCATAACTCCAAACCCATGTCCTCTTGTGCTACTTTCCTGGTGCATTCTGAAATATTGGTCTGGGTTTACTTTTTCAATTCCATTTAAAATGTTAGACATCTCTATGTGGCTCCTCTGAGTGACCTTCTCTCAAAAATAAAGAGCCCTAGCTTGTTTAATTGTTCTCATAGCTCATTCCTCTAACACTGGGGATCATCAGATGAATCGCAAATAATTGGACTTTCTGTAATAAACTAAGCATCCTATTTGCTTCAGATTCATTCTGTTTACCTACAAAACTGAACCTATAATCATATAGAACAAGGCAATAGTCGCAGTACACTTATTTTGTACCATTGTATCTCTGAAACTAGGACATTTTATTCTATGGCAACATACACTAAGCAGTAAACTGGCAGTTCACCAGAAGAGAAAATTTAAAGCAAATACTTATATTTATTACCATATAAGTAAATTCTATGAAGCACTTTGAGACTTCTTTCCAACGTGAAAGGAACTATATCATAATAATACTTGTGTTTGATATAGCGTGTTATAATGATCTATAGACACGAATATACAATTTAAAAGTTGTGTTATGACTCCCTGGACTATTCACTCCAACAAGGTAAATGGTATTCTTCACTGATGATTAGCTTTTCCATTGTTCTGAAAAATTGTGCTTTTTCAAAGAAACATTTGCAAATGCAGCTCATTCCCATCAAAAAAACACTTCACATAATTGCTTGTTCTGATGTGTAGTGACTGTTGATATACAGGCAAATGTAACAACTAATCTGCATCAAGAACAAGACTGAAAAAGTGTAAATGACCGCTGGAAACAAAACCTCCGTCTGCTACATGGATCACCTCTACCATAGATCCATAGAAAATTACAGCACAGAAGAAAATCATAAGCCCATCATATATGTACAGAAAGATCTCACTGATCTACCATTTCCCCATACCACTGCAAATTACTACTTTTGAGATATCTATCCAGTTCCCTTTTACAATCTAACGTGGATCCTACCTCGACCACTGTACCAGACAGGGCATTCCACAGACAAATACCTTGGTGTGTATAAAAATCTCCCTCCTCTCCCTTTGCTAATTATGTGAAAGTGATGCCTCTGGTCAATGACTCTCTGACCAGTGGAAATAATTTCTTATTATAATAATTTCTATCGACTTTTATCAAAACTCCCCATAATTAGACATTAGACAGAATCACAAAACTCTGGCTCTGATGAAATCTGAGATCTTGTGATGTACAGGGGATTCTCTGCTCAAAATAATTGACGTTGAGAGGCATATTTTCCTGCAATCAAACATCACTGCTACAGCACATAGTTTTTTAACCTCCTCATTGTATAAATATCAACGAAATGAATGAGATTGTATTTTTGCTGAATATGAATGAGAAAGAAATACTGGCAAGGACCAATTGACTGTTAACATAAACCTGAATCATCAGAGCAGGAAAATGGGAGATGGGACCTTGATTGTATGTCTCATCCAAAGGACCACACCACAATAATTCAGCGATCCCTCAAGTTCTGCATCTGGAACATCAGCCTAGGCTATACTCCCCATCAAAAAATCATAGAAAGTTCCATCCCAGAAGAAGATCTTTCAGCTCATTATGTCTGCGCTGGCTCTTTTACAGAGCAATCTTTTCAGTCCCATTTACCTCCCTTTTATTTTAGGTATCCATCTAGATTCCTTTTGAAAGCTAATATGGATTCTGCCACAACCACTGCTCCCAGCAGGGCATTCCATATCCTAACTACATTGTGTGTGAAACAAATTCTCCCAACCTCCCCATTTGTTCGCTTGAATTGATGCCTTCTAGTCACTGGTTCACTAACAAGTTCCTCCAGGTTCTGATCTTAGGCCTAAACCACTCATCCCCGATATCACCTAGTAAATTTACCCTTTCTATTGCCTTGTTGTCCTCCTAAAGTGGGCTGACCAATACTAACACAATATTCTAAACATCTTCTGACCCAGAGAAGAGAATGCCAATAATTCAACCATACACACTACAGCACTGTCACCTCAGCATACGCTTATTATCTTGGTAATTCTCGGGTACTTTCCACTATCCTTTTTCACACAAGGAGTAGTGGAAATCTGGAACTCTCTCCCCCAAAAGGCTGTGGTGCTAGATCTATTCAAATTTTCAAGGCTGAGGTGAGTAGATTTTTGTTGGGTATGGGTATCAAGGGACGTGGGCAAAGGTGGGTAATAGGAGTTGAGGTACAGATCAGCCATGATCTAATCGCTCCCTCAACCCTTTTCCCCTTCCCTCAATCCCTTCGCCATCTTCAAGTTGTGCCTGAAGACCTTCCTTTTCGACTGCGCCTACGGTCACCTTCTCCCTCCCCCGGGCTCAACCTTGGGCTTCACCATTGTTAAGCGTTCTGAGACGCCGCCCAGCGTGAAGGGTGCTATATAAGGGCAAGTTGTTGTTGTAATAGAATGGCGGAACAGACTCGAGGGACTGAATGCCTATTACTGTTCCTATGGTCTATCACCATTGACTGGGGAAGATCCAGCAGAATAGCGGTGGGAAACCACAACGCCGGCCTGAACCGAAAGCTCAGATCCACCCATAGCCCAGAGACATTGAGAAGCGGCAAAGAGCTGGACTGGAGACGTCGGGACTGGACTCGCTGCTTCCGAGTGTCCTGATAGGCATCCAGTCTCCAGAGGTCACAGCATCTGGCAGTTCCCCATCTGCTGACAGCTGCACCACAGGGTAAACACAGCACTGAACTGTTTATCAGTTTCCCTGGATGAAGCACCTGTGTGTTTGCTATGACTTATAAATTATTGCACGAGAAATCTTGAAAAAATTGTCTCGAAGTTCAATGTTACACCACAGAAATGGGTCAGCAAGCAGCAGGTTGCCAAATAAATATGCAAAAGGGTCAGGACAAACACAAGAAATATGGAGCATCTGTCTGTGCATGTTTAGCCATCACACTGGAAGAAAATAATATATCAGTTTGAACAATATGCCTTCTGGACTTCATAAATCAGCGTTCAAGTCTTGGCAAATATCATCCCTGCTTAAGTAGAACATTCTTATCAGATACAGTAAGAATACTCGAAGTTTGCTTAACCTCAACCTTGCTGCTGGCAGGTTGACATTTTAATATTGGTAACAGATGTAAAATCTTAATGCACAAAGCTTTATAAAAGCCAGGCGAGCCAAAAAAAAGTAGAATTAAATGTTTTTTTTTTATCTTTCAAGATGCTTAAAAGTTTGAGAAAAATCAGCAAGACGCTTTTTAAGAACAAAAAAAATTCCTGTAATTCTTAAATCAGGATCACGGGCGTTCATACCTTTTCATGTTCACTAAGCCTTCCAGTGCCTTGGATTTCTGAGCAGCTTTCTTTAGTACTTCATCAGGCATGTGGGCCAGTTTGGCCACGTTTAAGCCATAGCTGCAAGCTGCAGCCCCCTCAGTCATCTGATAGAGGAAAGTGATGAACTCCGGCTGCAATTTCTCCACCAATCCTGTGCGGATTAAAAGGGCAGGTGTGTCAGTCAATCTTCTTTCAGGCAAACAATTAAACCAGATGGCTGGTGTCGGAAAGTGAATACAGCTGTTCCCACAGTGTAACAAAGCGCAGGCAGGATTTAAACTGCACACCACGCAGAAAACGGTTTGATGAAACGTACCAAAAAAAAGGTTCACTTACGTGTAAAGTTCAGCACTTTTAGTAAATAAAAATAATTTGATCACTCAATCCACGACTGTTTGTGGGACACTGCTGTGCGCACTTGGCTGCTGCGTTTCGCCCACAAATGTAGTCAATTCACTTTACAGTATATGCTGTGAAGCGCTTTGAGACATCTAGAAGATGTGAAAAGCGCTATACTAAATGCAAGGATTATTAATTATTATTATAAAAGGGGAATAGGTATGTGGACTGTCAGTATAGATAGCATCACAATTGTCAAGGAGAAAGGAACAGATGAGAGAGAAGGAATAGAAGGGAAAGGGAGGTGGTAAGGAGAAAGTGGGGACTCATGTGCAGTATAATTATAAACTATAAGGATTATTATTATAAACAAGACTAGTTGGGCCGAATTATCATTTTCCGTGCTGGACAGAAGTTCAACACTACACTAAAGTGAAACTGAAAAAACCCAGCTAATCCTAGACAGAGCAGGAAGTAACATCTTCCAAAACATAGTCTGTACAGATCAGGCTCACCAGAACACTGTTTCCTTGTCAGCTCCCAACCCTACATCGTTCTTGAATTATCCATTTATAGTTCCCAGCAAGTTATTATAAGGAAAATCTGGATCCCAAATCCATGAACATTTCAGCTTGTTTTCCCCAGCATAATTTATCGTATTGAAGAAACCCAATTAAGGAGATATTTCAAAAAGCTGACCATCATTTGACAGTAAAAATACCGGATTAAACAAAACACCTATATAAAACATTAAGGGCTATGGGGAGATTAGGAAAAAGGGATTAATAAAAAGGGGATTTAGGAGATATAAGTAGCAAAAGCACAGATGTGGTGGACCAAATGGGCCTCTTTCATGCAGAACATTTCTATCTTTTCTTGAATCGCCCTCTCTTGCTTTGCTTTATTAAAGAAAAGTAGAGAAGAAATGAAGGTGCTTTTTATCCAATACAAGAACTGCAAAATGTCTCCTCATCTCCCCTCTGGTTCTTTTGCCAATTATCTTAAATCTATCTCCCTGGTTACCGACCCACCTGCCAGTGGAAACAGTTTCTCCCTATATATTCTGTCAAAACCCCTCATAATTTTAAACACCTCTATTAAATCTCCCTTAACCTTCTCTGCTCTAAGGAGAACAATCCCTAGTTGCTCTAGTCTCTCCACATAACGAAAGTCCCTCATCCCTGGTACCATTCTGGTAAATCTCCTCTGCACCCTCTCCAAGGCCTTGATATCCTTCCTAAAGTGTGATGCCCAGAATTGGATACAATACTCCAGCTGAGGATTAACCAGTGACTTATAAAGGTTTAGCAGAACTTTAGGTCCAAGTCATTTATGGTTCTGTGGAGGGGTTTTCTTGCTGGAACAGAAATGAGTAAAATAATAAGAGCAAAATATCTTCCAGTGTTAATTCTTTGTTTATCTTCCCTTGCAACGATGAGTGGATTTTCCATCTGGTCTATAAAAACATTAATTTTGACAACTTGTATTTCATCCTCAATCTTCTCTGTTCCAGCAAGAATGCATGTCCATTGAACTATAACCTTGTATCACCCAAGTGCATTACTGCTGAATCACCTCCATGGCTGTGATATCCCTGTCAGGTACAACAGATAAAAAGTTGTGGTATAAGGATGAAATCTAAAAGTTCAGAACGTATTCAGAATCCACACCATCTCTGGAGCCCTTTGATTAGGTTGAAGTATTGTAGTTAGTTGCTGCTTTTTCATTATTCTGTATATAAAGGTGGCATATTAGTTATTGTATTCAATGCAGAAAATAACAGCTTCCTGTTATTAGAATAATAATAAATTAGAAATGCACACAATGAACCTCAATCGTTATCTTTATCTTCTAATACATAATCCATGATGATAAGAGACTGTTTTAAGGAAGGAATAGTTTCTTAATGCTTGGCATCAATTGCATGTGGATTTCCAGCTGTTAAAGATAAGATGGGAAACTGGAATCTCAGCACAAGTAGAATATAATAATAATAATCCTTGCATTTGCTATAGCGCTTTTCACGTCTTCTCTACGTGAAAGTACAGGTAAGACTGCTAATAAAAACAATTTACATTTAAACAGCAGCTTTCACTTAGGGAAGACGTCTCAAAGCACCTCATACAACTGACTGAGTACCCGCACTGGAGGTTTGGGTGGGGGGTAGTGGGAGGGAGATGTTGAAAAAAGTGCAGTTCAAGAGATTGATCTGATTGTTTTTTATATTCCAATCATGAACCCAACATAGTTGTGTTAGAATTGCTGATGGAGGAAACTTGCTTTAAAAATTCAAGAATAAAACACAATCTTCACCCCCAGAGTATCCAAAAAGTACACTGGGCCAAAAGGAAATCAAGTCTGAAGAAATTCTCATCGCTCCTGTCACTTCAACAAAAGAAACTAGAGATTTTATTTTCTTTAACTCTTTAGAAGCAGTATGGAAATTGCGTATACATTTCCCCATCAACGACTCTGACACAACTATAATAATTAACAGAAGTTGCTGGGAACGCTCAACAAGTCAGGCGGTAGTGAATACAATGCAGCGTCTGACGAAAGATCATCAACCTGAAATATTATCTCACTTCCCTCTCTCCATAGATACTGCCTGACCTACTGAGTGTTCCCAGCGACTTCTTTACTTCAGATTTCCAGCATCTGCAGTATTTTGCCTTCTGACACAACTATGTTGTGTTCAAGACTGGAATATTAAAAATGCACATTATGGTTCGTGTTAAATGGAAGCTGTTAAGTTAGCACAACAAGTGGACATCCTTTCTGTTTACTGGCATTAATATATATTGTATGCTGCTACTGTGAGCTGTGCTGAGTGCCTGAAACATGAGAGGACTTAGATAAAGCGAGAACAATTCGGTCTGACCATGCAAGTGGAAATGTCTCCATGTACCGCTATCAGCAAAACAGTAGATTAGACCGGAAAGCTGAACAGAAGGCGTTTTCCTTGACCAACCACCCCCTCCCCACTACCCAACTCCCTGACTGGCCTTTTCCATTAGCTACAGTTGCCTGAGCTGCAATAATCTTTTTCTATTCCAAACATATCCTCCAGATTAATTGAGCTCCGTGGGAACCTGTGCTTTCGGTAGGTTAGGTGGAACACCCCTTTGTTCCAGCACTACTCAGGCTAGCTCCTAACCTCTTCCTTTACTGCTCTGATGACTGACTTAGTGCTGCTTTCTCCTCTTGCTCTGATCTGGAACTGCCTCAAAGACTATGCCTGTCATTTCCACCAAGCCCTCACTCATCCCTAACTGAGTTTATCCCTAACTATTCCCTGACGTTTTTCTCTCTCTCAGATAATGTTCTTACAACTGACATACATTACAATTCCACAGACTCCCACAGCTACTTAGATTTTCATTCTTCCCACTCATTCTCCTGCAAAGGTTCCATTCCTTTCAGCTTCTCCGTCTCTGACCCATCAGCTTTAATCACTCCACTTCCTGCACCAGAGCTTCAAAAAGGGCATTTTTTATCCTTCGAGAGGGTTTCCCTAGTCACTAATCACGAAGCTTCACTTCCAACGTCAGTGATCACAACGGCTGTCTGGTCCTGGTTTCACCCCTCAACTCTTATTCTCTTTCCTCTTCTCTCAACAGTGACAGATTCCTTTCTCTCATTTCACCAGCCTCCTGACCATCCAGGTTAATACTCAGGATTTTTTCCACCAACATCACAATTCCAACCCCAGACACCAACTCCCTTCCCTTTCAGGAAGAGCCAATCCCTTGGTGACACTTTCATTTACTCCTCTATCACCCTACACACCATCTCTCCCTTCCCCTCAGTCATGCTCTCTTGCAACTGCAAAACCATGTGCCTTCATTTTTTCCCACCGCTCACTCTGTGGTCCAAAACGCTGTCTACATGTGAGATAGCAATTCATTGAGTGTGTGTGTCTCAATATCTGCACTCACTCTTTATCCCGGCTATTCAAATACTTTGTACTTTTCGAGATAAGAGTACTTTGGAAAACTTGTCAACTCCATTAAAGTAGTAATTTGAACCACTGTATTTCGCTTGGAGTGACAGAGTTTCACTATAATTTGAAAGTTTTTTTCGGCTGTTCTGTTTGGGTATTCAAAGAACTGGGAAAGCTTTCTCCAATGTCCTGCTGTATAAAGTAGGTATCACTGATACGCACTGTGGTTTAATGGTGTTAGGTATGCATCAAATTGCCCCGTGCATAATGGGGCGAGTTTGGTATTGGTAGTTAACTGTCTGTTTCCTGGTCCTACAACTTGCAGGACTTGTACCCAAATCCCTCTGTTACTTTGCTTGCCTCTATTCTTATAAATCCGATTCAGAGTCTGCACAGGCAGCTTTAATATCAACAGTTGAATAGCTTTTTATTCCGGTATCTGTCAATAATGAGTACATAACAAGAAAGCGTGAAAGCTTTCCTTGTCATACTGTGAAGTAAGTAAGGATGTACTGTGTAATCAAAGCAGCATTTACGAATTTATACTGGCCTGTGCTATTGAACTGTTTGGCTTGGCTTTGCCAAGCAAAGCAGCAAAATCTAGTTTCAGATGACAAGTCTGACGTTATGTGCATGTAGAGGAATGACTACTGCCTAGGGTAAAATGTCTAGACAATGTGCAACTACAACTGAAAATGTATTGTGCTTTAGGAAGACACCACTATCACCAGATATATTTGAGTCAAAACACCAAACTGCTTGGTTTAATTGTTTTTCACATTAGTTAAAAAGAAAAACAATTGCTAAGCCTATGCGAAGAGCAAAGATTGAGAAGAATAGGTGAAACAATGAGAATACTCATGTAGTGATGGTTGGGTGATTTGTTTTGTAATGTCGCCTTGGGACGTCCTCCTGATGTGAAAGGCGCTCTATAAATGGAATCTTGTTGTTGTTTTACATTTAGATGCCTGTGGGTTGCAGGAAGATGGGAAAATTGTGGGGAGAGTTTCACAATTTTGAGGGTCTCAGGATAAGAAAGTTGCTACAGGTTTTAATTTCAACAGTGAGTATTCAAGGGAACATCAGGAGAATATAAGGATGTGTACTTGGTCCTGAGGAGGAGCAAGACAAAAATGTTCTGAGAAAAGCAACATAGTATTATTGATGAAGGTTTCAATGGTCAGAATGACAGTTTAGAGGCTAGATAGAAGAGAGGACAATGTACACTTCAAGGCTGTTTGTGGGACATTGCTGTGTGCAAATTATTCCATTCCAGAGTCCCTACAACTTGCCCTTTCCCTCATCTCCATCAAGGTGCAGCTCAAACCCTTTCTCTTTGACCATGCCTTGGGGCATCCTCCCGACATTAAAGGTGCTATGCAAATCGAAATCTGTTGTATTATTATTAAATTCCTGTGCCACAGTTCTGTCCACTTGCTTAATGTGTCTGTCTCCATATTTCTTGCATTATTATATCAAAAAGACTGCATTAAATATAAGGACTCTTATTATTATCTTAAGCATCAGAGTTCAGTTTATCAGACATGAAACTTTCATACCTTTTTGTTCATCCTCCTCCTCATTCAGCAGGAAGGCCATGTGATAGTTCCGGACATTCTCTGGATACAGTCTCTCCAGCTCACACAGAGGAGGATAGTGCGTTACAAACAGGGTCAGGGATTTGACCTGGAAACAATATCACAATGCCTTCAACAAGTTGTAGGACTGAATTTCCCAGTAAACACAATCAATGTATGGCCTCTAGAAATAACAACTTGGGTTAAAAAATCTGAAAACAAAATTAGCATTCAAGAAACTGAATATATTTAATCAGTTCTACAATACAACAAACTTCAGCATCCATCATCTTATACAACAACAAAATTACATTTGTATAGCGCCCTTCACGTCAGGAGGACATCCCAAGGCGCTGGTCAGTCAGAGTTTCGGACCTGAGCTAGGTATCAGGATTGGGGAGGGTGGAGGGGATGGGGGGGAAGCAGGGAGATCGAAAGCACGGTTGAAGAGTAAGGTCTTGAGATGGGTCTTGAAGGTGGCAAGAGAGGGAAAAGGCGGAGGATGCGGGATGGAGTTCCAAAGGGTGGGAGCAAAGTGGTTGAAGGCCCACCTGCCAATGGTGGGGTGAGCGACGCGGGGGACATGAAGCAGGCCAGAACCCGCTGAGCGGAGGGAGCGAGCAGAATGGTAGGGGGTTAGGAGGTCACAGAGGTAGTGGGGAGCAAGACCATGGAGGGGTTTGAAGGTGAGGACTAGGATCTTGAACTGTAACCTCTGTGTGATGGGAAGCCACTGGAGTCGGATGGGGGTGATAGGGTCATGGAGCCCGCTGTGCGAGAGGGCACGGGCTCCAGAGTTCTGGATGATCTGCAGCTTATGGAGGGAGGAGTTGGGGAGGCCAACAAGCAAGGAGTTTGCAGAGTCAAGCCTCGATGTAATGAAAGCGTGTGTGAAGGTTTCGTACATGCTTTCATTACATAACAATTCAAGTAAAGAGCTGCACACACAGGCTCAGATATAGCCGGTAAAAATTACAATGTATTGTGTCATCAGCTTGTTATTAAATATGTACAGCACTAACTCTCACTCAGTTTCTATGAGCACTTTAATGCATAAATGATTATGTTCATTTTCACCCCACTGTTTGAACACTTTTAGAAAAAGTTGAGACTAAGATTAGTTTAATTAAAAAAAATTGACTTCATTATTTGCATAGTTTTTGTTGTGAGTTATATTTACATACAATTACATGGAATCGACTAAAGAGGATTCTAGTTTATTAGGCACATAAATTATGTTGACCATACAACATAATTTTACCCAACTACAGTCCATAGCAGTGTCGAAATTAAATCTTTCACCAATCCTAACTCCCAACTCTTCCCTAGCATCCCTCCTTACCCCACAATTCCTTTCTCCTTCATGAAACAAGCATTGGATAGAATTTACAAGAGCGAAACTCAAAGAGATCTCGGAGTGTTAGTTGGCTCATTGCTTACCATGCCAAAATAGTGTGACAGAGAAAAAAAAAACTTAAAGCAAACAGGATGTTGCCTTTGTGGCCAAATCAGTTTAGTTCAGATCCTCAGAAGTTATACTCAATAATAATAATTGTGGAGTCCTGTGGCTCAGTGGTTAGAGCACTCGCCTCACAAGCGAGAGATCTGGGTTTGATTCCCGGCAGGGCGAAATCTTGGGCAAGTTTCCTTATTCCACACGCCTGATAATAATCCTTCAAGAAAAAAAAATAATAATTTGGTCACTTCAATCCACGACTGTTTGTGGGACACTGCTGTGCACAATTGGCTGCCGCGTTTCGCCCACAAAAATGCAGTCAATTCACTTTACAGTATATTCTGTGAAGCGCTTTGAGACATCTAGAAGGCGTGAAAAGCGCTATATCAAATTCAAGGATTATTATATTATTACTGTTAATAATAATCCTTGCATTTGATATAGTGCTTTATCCTGTCTTTGAGATGTCTCAAAGCGTTTCATAGAAAGCACCGTAAAGTGAATTAGTTGTGTATTTTGTACGTGAAACAAAGCAGCCAATTGAGCACAGAGCTAGAGAACCAAGTTCTATAGCTTGAGCATGATATCTGGGCACCTAAAGCACTTCACGCAGTTCTGGTCACCATGACAAAAGGGGCTGCCTTGGCCCTAGAGGCAGTGCAGAGGAGAGCAACACAGATGATGTGTTAGAGGAATGAGTTATGAGTGACAATTAGAAAAGCTGGCTCTGTTCAGTTTGAAAGGAGATATCTCAGTGGGGACCTTAGACAAGAAAAACATTTTAAATTACCCAGAGGATAATTAACAAGTACAACAGATTACCAGACAGGCTGGTTGAGGCTAAGCTCTGGACTCATTTAAAAAAAGAAAAACAGCTTTGTGCTGTGATGGAAAGATGGTGGGGTGGGCATTCTGTAAGCATGAGATCAAATGGGCCTGGAGGGCCTTCTTCATCTGAACCAATCTTGTAATGTTGGCATTGTTTCCTCCTGAATGCACTGATGCTCAAAATGTCACAGAATATCAAAGATGTCAACAACTAACCACATTCATCCAAATTTATAGCCTAGGTCTGATAATGTCCGGAGGTTTCTTAGACTTAAGATCGTTAAATCATACGCTACTCTGATGGAATAAGCAACCAATCCACAGAGTGCACAGACTTGTGTTGCTTTCGGAGAGATAAAGGCAGAGAGGGAGAAAAAGGTAGGTAAAAAGATGGGAGCGCAGTGAAGGAGGGAGGGAACATAGGGAGGAAGAGAACATAGGGTACATGGAAAGCAGACTCGGTTAACTGGGGAATACAACATAAGAGTGAATAACCTAAAACTACAGAATGAAATATATAAAAGATAGTCCCATGACTTTAGAATTTCCACCGGTACCGTGGGGATTGAACATAATCCAGTTCTTTTGCCTTTCTATTTATAGTGTTCCAAGTGATCTGTTATCAAATACACATAGAACTAATCAATCAAGGCACATGCAAACAGAGACAGTTATTCTGCTTGCGACTACTGAAGTCCGCATTATAGTTTGTTTCAACACCTTTTCTGACACAAACAAAGCTGCTGTAAAGCAGCTATCATATTAAAAACAATGGATCTCAGCTGTTCTTTCCGAAGAGGGGAGAAGCATAGTTACTAAGTTGTTCCATCATAAATCTTAAGTGCCAGTTGTTGATTGAATTTCATCAGGTACCACAGAGCAGTGAGGTGTAAAGTCAGACTGCCATCTCCAACAATGCAGCCTTAACACAGCCTTACAATATGTGAGTTCAAAGTCCCAATGTGGGGCTTGAACCCAAAATCTTCTGACTCAAGAGACAAGAGTGCTACCAACCAAGCCAGGCTAACACTATGAGGTGCTATGTCAAATGCAAGGATTATTATATTATTATTGTTGTGGATTACGGTTTGAAACAGTGCTAAAGAGTTTACCGCACTATCAACTATCAAATCGTCTGGTGCATTGGATATAAAACAAGCTTACTGTATATATCTGTACATATAGCTAATACAATTCCAACAGCAAAAAAATTCCTATAATTTTCAGACCTCCTTGCAACCTGCATCGTATTTTGTAAACAAATTCCTTCCGACTGCTTCAACCAATTGAACAAGATTGTTGAACACGTGCAATCTGATAACCCAGCCTGACTGAGCTACCTCAGAAAATGCACTGCTTTTGCAGTGGATGAGTCCCGGGGACATTTTCAGATGCTTTCACAAATTAAAGTTTCCACAAGGCTGTCAGTCTTTCATCTACCTCGATTTCAAGATCCACACTCTCATGTTCAAATCCATTCACTCTCTGGCACCTCCCTACCTCTCTGACCTCCTCACTCCCCAATCCACCACCCGGCGCCTCCGCTCGACCGGAACTGGCCTCCTGCTCATCCTTCTCACCCTCCGCCTACCCATCGCAGGTCGCACTTTCAGCCACTACGCCCCAAAACTCTGGAACAGTCTTCCTCAATACCCCCACCTTGCCCCCTCTCTCTCCTCTTTCAAGTCCCACCTATAAACTTTCCTCTTCGACTGTGCTTACGGCCACTTGCCCCCTCCCCCCGGCTCGGAGTCAGGCTCCACCACTGTTAAGCGCTCTGAGACACTACCCTGCAATGGAGGGCGCTATATAAGTGCGCATTGTTGTTGTTTCTGAAGGTGAAAAGTCATCACCAGGCTGTTCAGCATCAGAGCCAAATCCAATCCTGGGATCTAATACACAACATTCACAAATTCTGTTCTACCCTTATCTGTTTGAGTGGAATAAAAAGTTTATTCACATTAGCAAACTTTATTAAGCTTCCCTGCCTTCACAAGCATTCATCAGATGAGATATTTAAACTGAGGTTCCATCTGCTTGGCCAGATGCATGTTAAAGATCCCATGGCACTCTTTGAAACGAGAAGTAAGTTTCTCCCAGTGTCCTGATTAATTTTGTTTAAAGTGATGTTTACCATGCTGTCGCAATTCAGACCATATTCCAAAGGGGGAAGAGGTGCTATCATGTCAATGTGAACATTCTCAGGGTCTCAAAGCACACAGCCGCTACCACTGACTGCCAAATTGAAGCCTCCCAAATCCACTTGTGATCGAATGCATTTCTAAAGTGACCTCGATTCCAAGATCCCCATCCTCCTGATTTCAGGGCGAAAGTTTCTTTTTGAGTAAACCTGCAATTGAGAATTTAGTAAATAGTCAAAGGGAACCATAAATACTGTTCAATCCACACATTTGCATCAGTAAAATCTGGTCTCCTTCCTTGTACACCCATTCTTCATAAAAAAATACTATGGAGCATTTGTTCCTTCACTTTGCACCCATTCTTACATCCTCCAATACTGTTCTCAGGCAGAAATGTATCCAATTATCTTCAAAGTTAATCACCAGAGCACCAAGTACTGTTGTGTGGTTCTACACATCCACTACTCTCTGGGGGGAAATATCTTTCTTTTAATCTCTAGTCTTGCCTGAAGCTTTTTCGATTTTAAGCTTACGACCTCCAGTTCTGCTCTTATGAACTATGTCAAATACCTTACTGTAAACATGTAGCAAGTTTTTGCATTTGATCTTTGTTAGTGCCCTAACTAACCAAACACTGACTCATCCGAGATATCTATTCCTATCCGAGTGGTAGATTCACTTTTA